AATAGAATAGAATAGAATAGAATAGAATAGAATAGAATAGAATAGAATAGAATAGAATAGAATAGAATAGAATAGAATAGAATAGAATAGAATAGTTCAGTTGGAAGGGRCCYRCAATGATCATCCAGTCCAACTGCCTGAACAATTCAGGGCTGATGTTTTGCAAGTGTTGAGGGAGGAAATGGGACTTGGCATAAGGGGTCAAAAAAGGCAAGAAGAAAGGTTTGACTCTGCAGATCAGTGATACAAGATACTCTGACTCCAAGTGCCTTGATAAAGGGCAATAAAAYAGTATAGGATTCACAGTGAGAGACTGACAACACCTTGTGCAAGGAGTGGTAGGTATTTCAGTTTTTAAACACTGAGGTGTGCACAAAGCTTAAAATTATTTCAGAATTGTAAATTTATTACAGGACATTGAGAAAAAGTTTCACTTTTTTTTCTCATTTACAAGAAGATTTTTCTAACTTCACTGCTGAATGCTGCAAGTTAAATGTGGAATGGGTCACCCTGGTGTGATTTTCAGGCTAATTTCCACAGCACAAGGAGCTATTGCTTTTCTGTGCAATATAAGGCACAGTTTTTAGAACTGTTTTTAGAACCATTTATTTGTTATTCAAACCCATATTTTCTTCTGCTAAGAACATTAAGTTCTGAAATCTACTTGAGAAACTTGCAGTTGTGAATTTTTTTATCCACTCCAAATAGGACAYAACTATCTTTAAATGCACCAAAATTGTGCAATTACCAAAGGATAACTTGCAGGTAGATGTTCCACTTTTATTACTAACAAAGACTTTGTTACCAAAGACACCATCTCATCTCTCAAAGGGGCTCATTTATGAATTGATTCCAGAGAGCTAACTTCTTAATTGGGGCGAAATGAATGAATTGACAAGTATATGGGCGCTTTACAGGGTAAGAGAGCAACATTTAAAGGCAGGATAAAAAGTCAGACTGTGGGATCTTTTAGCTGCCACTTGACAATGATGCAAAGGTGCTCTGATAAAAGGTCCTATTTCAAATTCACAGTAGCATGTAATAATCCATTCCCCAACTGTGGATGGCATGTCCAACTTCTTGCACACTTTTGGGTTTAGTTATCTATAAAAGCTATCTACTTACTTGAAGAATAGGCATCCACTTTTCTTCAAATCTATCTTAGAAAAAGTGTCTGTGATRTAAGACACTTCTTTTTATCAATGTCTATCATATCCTCCATTTCTCTAAGGATATTTCCACCAAAAATAAATACGTCTGTGGACTAGATCTGTTCATTCATTCTGAGCAGGTCTTGACTTTTCAGATCTCCTGCCCAGTTGCACTGAGTCTCAAATAGCAACCTAGAGGTCTACAGTTTCCAACCATTTCCATGTTGCTGTGAGGAGATTCAGAAAAGRGGAAGGGAGGCCTTTGAGATGTGATGAGACTGCAGCTTCAGTGTTTGAGCACCAGCAGAACACACACACAGTCCTAATACTAAAAAGGCTTAGGCATGCAGGTTACAGCAACACACATGCAGAGAATCCCATTCTGCAAGCCAGTCCAAAGTCACCTTGGCAAAGACAAAGGTTCCTTCCTGGGAAAAGTTTACTTTCTCCCTTCTAGGGGCTCYATGCCATTGTCATCAGCCTGCATCAAACATGCAGCTATTTCATACTTCCTCCTGCAGATCCTTCTCAGTTTTATCACCTGTAGTGTGGTCAGGGCTCCACAAYTCCCCACTGTTTTAGCTCTTGCCAAATCTATGTGCAGTCCTTACAGATTTCCCAGGGTCACCGTTTAGCTCACAGCTACTATTGGCTCAACTGCAGAGATGTCTGTCTTTCCTGASTGGATGTTGGAGGATGGTGGAAGGACACGGGAGGCCTGCAGCCTCTTGAAATTGCCATTTTCAGGCCAAGCCAGTCGATAGGATGGGACTGTGGAGGGAAGCCTCTGTTCCRTGGGCCTGGGGGGTTTTCTGCACATGTTGAGCAGCGCCTTCAGCTCCGATCGGAAGCTGTCATTGAGCCAGCAGTAGATGAAGGGGTTGTAGCAGGTGCTGCTCATTGCAAACCAGTGGAAGGCGAAGTACAGGGCATTGTTGGTGTGGATGGTTTGGCTGGAGAGGAGAACAACATAGCAGTTCAAGGGGAACCAGCAAACTGCAAAAAGGATGACAACAAGCATCAGCATCTTGATGGTCTTCTTGTTCTTCTTGCGAAGGACATAGTACTGCTCACTGGTGACGTCCCCGATGAYGTTGCGCAGCCAGAGTTTCTTTGCCACTGTCACATAGGCAGCAGAGATGATCACAAGAGGTAGGACGTAGAGCAAAATGAAGGTTGTTAAATCAAGGTACTTCCAAAAGAGGTCGGCAGGCTCAGGGAAATCTGGCAGACACAGGCACCGGGTAACATCCTCACTGCAAATGGAGATGGGACAGGATGAGAGGCACACATGGCWGGGCACGGTGGGATAAGTACATCAGAAACAAGGAGGCAGGTGGGAGAGGGCTCCTGCCACAAAGACTGAAAAAATCCTCTGTGATGTCTGTCACAGCTGAGCAGAGCTCTGCTGTTCAAGGCTCTGAGCAATGGAGCAGTCAGTGAGCAATGTGATGATAACTTGTTATGGGCATTCATGACCTTATGATAATTTAATGAATTTCATCGATTTCATTACAAAATTTTCAGCTGCATATGAGCAGGTTTTTATTTTCTGTCCTTTGGCAAACAGGAACACAGTCTCTGCATGTATTAAGGATCTTTCCCTCATCAAAGCACTTATCAAATATTAAGGCTCTTGACAGCTGAGACAGATTTTTCTCATTTCCTGGGGCTAAAGAGTAGATTAAAGCCTGTCAGGTTTTAGTGGGGTTTTGTTTGTTTGTTTTGTTTCYATTTCTGGACTTCCCAAAAAGGTCACATTGGTATTTGGCATAAAATGTAAATGTATAGAGGTAACAGGTCAAAGCCAGGTCCTCTAACTTCTTAGCCTATTTCATGTGATTAGTGGGAATAAAGATAAAAYAATTAAAAATAGAAAGTACAGGATACCAGACATTGCAAAAGGAATCGGATGAAAATTATAGATAGATCCACATTTGGCTAACCTTGACATATGCTCAAGGCTTTCAATAGAATATATTAAAGTATGACTGCTCGGAGTTTGGCCTCCAGGGAGACTGTGAAGGAAAGCAAAGCACATCCTTACCTGTACTCAAAGGTAAAGAGCTTTTGGTAGATAGCATGTGGTAGGGAAAAGCAAGCTGCCATGATCCAGATTACAGAGATGTAGATAACACCTTTTCCAGCAGATATACGAGGTTTCAGCGGGTGCATTATAACCTGTTAAAATAAACCAAAATCCAGGGTTWTTACCTTTCTGGAAAGATTTATACATATTTTTTTTTTCATTCAATCTTCCAGCCTTAAATCTATTACTTAATATGAAAATTCAGCATGCAAGCAGTACGGTCATCACCCATCTCCCAATCACTGTAATCTGCACATGAAAACCTGATTTTTAACACCATGAAATATAGTTCAATTCAGATAGTGGTTCTACCCTTATATTTCAGTATTTTCATCTAGGGGAGAAAAACTGTATACCAGGAGGTGTTAATAAATGTTCATTACTGGGTTCAATTTCCTTAAAAGAAGAAAAAAAAAGAAAAAGAAAAAAAAAAGGATAAAGAGGAGAAAAAAGTCTCAAGCTCTTCAGTATAAGTGACTCAAAGAACCAAAGGGTTTGTGATTTAATCAGACCTCCATGGGAATGCTTCTGATACTCTGTGTATTTTCTCGAAGCTTACTAGCAGAAAATGCTAACTGTCAACTSTTTTGTGTGGTTATTGGGTGGCTCCAAGCTGATGATACCCAACTGTCCCCATTTTCGAGCCCATTATCAACAGCAAGCCACACTTCTGCTTGTGACAAACAMCACTGTGCTACAGTCAGATCTCCAGTATTCAGGAGATCCCAGAACATCAGGAGTGAGCTGACCAACTAACTGGGATGTCCCTTATTACCCTGGTGCTGGAAAAGCYACTGCAAAGGAGAGCTACTGGGCTATATACTGCATAAAAGCTCCCTTTACCCAGCTGGAAGGGACAGCAAGGTGATGGATACCTCCTACCTTGCTGTGGGCTTCACACTGTTCTTTACTCTGACAGTAAGAACTGCCCCCCTACCCTGTCAGCTCCTCATCCATCTYATGATTAGCTGAGAGCTCAAGGACTGGGATCATCCTTTCTCAGTTTACTTTGCCCTCTCAAGCTTTCCATCTCTCTGCTTCAGAGAGTTCTCACCTGGTGCCTGTCCACAGCAATGGCTGTAAGAGTCAAGGCAGAGACGTGGAGAGAGCAGTACTGTGCAAACCTACTGACATGGCACATCCCCTTCCCAAAGATCCAGGTACTGTTCACAAAACGAGCCTAAAATGAGAAGACCATTAGTTTTGTGCCCCCCACAACTACCTACAGATACACCTTCAGCCCACAATTCCTTGTGCTTTTAAAACACTATTAAGATAGCAGGTTCTTTGTATAATTGTATAGTTTTTTGGCTTCTGAACCCTGAAGAGGTAGGTTACTGCTGCTCAGTGTTCTGGCAATATTCTCCAGGAAAACACAGCAGCGCAGTACCAAGGATGTTCTGTTTTGTTTACAGCATATCCTTCTGCAGCCTAACCAAATTGAGTCAATACATTTGCTTTTCCTGTTAAGCCCTCTTAATGGGATAGGGTTGACCTGTACGTCTCACCTCACTTCAAGCAAACCACAGCTTTTCAACACAGCTTGTTAAATGATGATGAGCATTTATCTTTTTATCAAGAGGTTTATAGTATCACCTCAGAAACACTTTAGAAAAGGGAAGGTAAAAAAGATCAGATGCTATAAAGTACTAAGCAATCACTGCAAGGTTATTATTGTTCAAGTACTATCAGGGCCACGTTTAACAAGCAGGTAATTTCAGATCTTCARCTAGGTAATAGGAGTTAAAGAAATATAACACATGTGGACTTTTCCAAAGGCATTTCCAACAGCTATAATTTGGAATGGATAGATATCTGCAGAACCTCCACACACTGCCTTGAGCAGTACAAAGCAGAAAAAGCCATTGAAGTGCCTCTATAGCTCAGAGAAGTTGACTTCAGTCGTGGGGTAGATTGTGCTGGTGCATCCCCCCTCCCTCCCCATCCCTTCCCAGGCTGCACCATGGTCTGAGAAATGCTCAGGTGCTTCTTTTCCCTCAGGGGTGGATCATCCCAGGCATCTCTGCCCCTTCTTACCAGTGTGAAAGGTGTGTTGAGGAGCGTGATCATGATATCAGCTACAGCCAGGTTCACAATGAACAAGCTTGTGGCAGAGTGCACCCGCTTCGTCTTGATGACAACGTGACAGACCAGGACATTGCCGAAGAGGGAGAARACAATGATGAAGGAGTACGCCGCGATGAGCAGGGCTTTCACCGTGATGCTCTGCGACTCCGCTCCGTACCGGCTCCTCTCCACAAAGCTCCGCCAGTCGGCCAGGCTGTCATTRTCCCAGGAAAAGAAACCCGACACGTTCGGGACTGCAAAAGTCTTCTCCAGGCTCCCATTGAGGGACAATTTTCCTGGAGTCACGAAGGCTTTAACCAAGTWGGGGAGGGTGAGCCAGACGAAACAGGACAGCATCTCTGGAACGCCGCTCTTCTCCTCCAGTTCGGGAACAGCTCTTTGGCGAGAGCGGMGCTCACTCCGTGTGCCGGGAGAGCCGCTCTCCCCTCGCTCAGGAGCAGCAAACCCGGCAAAGAGCAGCAGGAGCGGGGCGATGCTCCCGCCTCCCGCAAAGTGCTTCTCTCCCGCTCAGCTCGCCGCTACTTTTGCTCCTTCAGCCAGCTTTATATCTCCTGGCGAGCTCCGAGCCGGGATCTTCTGCATCATTGGGCGGCATGACATTATTTGTTCTCTGACGTGCTGCTTTTCCACGCAGTTGCACTCCCCCGGGCGCTACTCCCAGGTAAATACAACGGTGAGAAAGGCAAAATCGGTCTCTTCAGAGGTCAGAATCCTTTTTCTCTACCAGCAACCCAGCTTACGCAAATTGCAATCTGTTTATACACCACCAGCCAGCTCTGCTTTCTCGCAGGACAGGTCAAATCTGAGCACTTTTACAGGTCTGGGAGGCAAGTTTCAGCCTATTTAACATCATGACACGAATAGAATAGAATAGAATAGAATAGAATAGAAGAATAGAATAGAATAGAATAGAATAGAATAGAATAGAATAGAATAGAATAGAATAGAATAACTATAAATAACAAGCTGGCTTATTGTACCTAACAATATTTTTTCAAAGACCTTTATTCTCAGAGAGACGTGGAATACTCAAGTTTTCCCTTGGCAGGCATTTTCTCTCAGCCAAGGGAATAAARGTCTGATGTGAAACTGCTTTCTAGGGCTTGTAGAAGTAGAGGTACTTACAAAGCTGTAATTACATAGGACAGAGGACAGGAACTGTCCCAGTCCAGTGTGCCCAGCAGCCAAAGCAAAAGGCATCTGTATGCTGGTCCCAAGAACTGATGAAATGGCAAGCATGTGTGTACCCTCTGCCTTCCCCCACAAAACACAGTAGGAAACAGAAAATCGGAGACCAAGAGCCACAAACCTTACACAGGAAGATGTGCCACTTCCCAAGTGCACATGTACAGCACTGCACCTCTGCTAGGGACAGAACTACTTGGGGGGTGTCAATCAAGCCCAGCCAGAGCTGGTTTTATACAAAAAATGCTTTATTTAATCATTAATTGACCGTTACCTGAAAAGCTAGCATTATAAGCTGGTCACTCACTGGTGAAAATAACTCTTCCAAAAGAGGGTTGTGATTGCCTCAGTGAACTGCCCCGGCTGCCATCTCTTCATGACTCTGCAGGAGTTGGACACAGCAGGACAAGCAGAATGAACAGCCCACAGTGCTGCTCTGCACACAGCTGTCAGAGCCTGTTTCTTCCACAAAATTGTCCAATTTGAGCTCTTTAGGCAATGTGCCTGTTTCAGAGAAAGCTTTCCAGTGAGCCTGCTGSAGCTCCTGAGGCGGCTGTCATCCCGAACATTCAGAGAGAAGAAATGTGTCCCAATCAGAAGAGCATCAGTTTCTAGCAGGGTGCCCTTGTGTATGTATTAGAGCTGCCATTGCCTTTGAAGACAAGACACATCCAGGAGAGCAGGATACCTTCTCACCTCCTAAGCCAGGCTGCTGGTAAGATGGGAATTTGCTTCCACTCATCTCAAGCCCACTCTCCTCTGAGCTGGATTCAGTGTCTTGTGATCCATAGGAGGTGGTCCAACCATGTAATGGGGAGGTCCACTCAAAATACCCACAGTGTCATGGAAAAAAGACCAGTGGAAGCTGTTATGTTTCTCCAGTGTTGGTGGTGTGCCTTTCTCAGCCTCACACCACCCTTCTCATTTGGTTTGTATTTAAGCACACTGTTTAAGCAGCTCAGCTACATGTGGTTGTCCCTAGAGAACAGGCTGCAGAATATTTGGCAGCTTGGTAGCTGCTCCTGCCACCTTCACCCTTGCTCCACAATCCCCAGCATCCTGACAGCAGCAGCAAAGAAGCAGCTGCAACGAACATCAGGATTTGGCACACTGAATGTGGTTTTTACAAAAGGTATTGTGAAACGATGCAATTTCTGAAGTGAAAAGTAATGTTTGAAATATATGGATGGATCATGAATTCAGGTAATAAAAAAATCATCAAAAACATCTGTGCAACAGCACTCTTAACAAGATTATAATGAAATAGAAAACAGTCCTGGTGGGAATAAAAAATTATAAGAATATTAAAAAGTCAGCTAGACATGCCAAAAAATTCAAAAAGCATTCAAAAAGAGGAATAAAGCCTTTTTGTCTTTTTAGAAACAGCAGAGTGTTTTTCTCCCTGCCCCCTGCTCCTGGGAATAATCTTTCACTACCATGGTTCTAATGAATTTTTCGAGCTTTGCTKAATTTTTGAGCTTTCCTGGTGCAGGGGAATTGAAGTTACATGAGTGAGAAGTGGTTTTTCAAAAACTATCCAGTGTGATCTCTAAGAAATAATGTTGATTTTCTGAGCATCTTACCCCCTTGTATAACCAATGACATTACTGATTAGGACAAGCATCTCTTTATAGTACAGTCTTTCTCCACACATCAGTTACATGTTTTCCCCTGAAGAAAAGGCTGCCATGTTTATCTTCCATACAAGCCAATTTTAACACAAAGCCACTGTGAATTTGGTAGCTGACTGGAAAAAAAAGTGAAAAGGTAGAAAGCTTTTGATATGRCTCCCTATTATTCTTACACCTGTGGCTAAAATCTTTGCCTAGGATGTGTGTGTAGCATCAAAATAGAGAGTTCCCTTTGGTACTTCTTTAGTTACAGAACTGAATTCATTCTCACATACTATGATGTTTAATAACAGTGCAATACKGGATTTAAGTTTTCTTGGTAGAGTTGAAAGCATTAAGAYATTTTACAGCCTCAATACTGAAACYTGTATTCTTGTGGWGTCTAAATTCAGAGTTTTCAATTGTATTCATAGAAAATTGCAAGTAAGATCAAGTTRCACTGTGCTGAGACCGTGTCCATATTCATAACTATGTACTACTGTAAATCTACTTCTCCACAAAATTAAAACCAAAGAGATGGAGTTTTATAGAAAAGATATAACTGTCTTTTTTATTGTCATCCCAAAAAGAAAACAGGATCTTAGAGTTTTAGAAAGAACTTGCACTTTCAGGCAAGAGTTTTAGAAAGAACTTGCACTTTCAGGCAGTATTTCAGAATATCACACCCTCTAGTCTAGCGCTTCAAGCAATGTTAACAGAAAAATTATACCCAATTTGGTGCTGCTGGGAACAAAAAACCCAAACCATTTCACAGAAGTGAAAATGGAAGACAAGCCATCATTTACAGAGAAATATCATAGAGAGAGCCTTGCAAACTGCTCCCCATTTTCTTCACAAACTTCCATAGTCTCTCTTGCATGGTGAGCCAGAAATCACTTAGTTCTTCTTGATGTAGCAGGGCTCATGAATGGATCATCCTGCAATTTGCAAAGAGATACACATTACTAAAACTAGAAGGCATTCCAAGTCACAAAAAGGCAAAACTACCTTTAGATTAAACTAGAAAGCCATGTTTTCTGACAGACTTGTTTTTGTTGGTTTTGATATGAAAATCAATCATCTATTGATTTGAAAGTCCACAAATATGTAGAGAACAGAAGTTTATGTCAATATGACCAGAATAGCTACTTTGGAATAACAATCTGTATTTTAGTTGCTAATCACAATGAGCAGCCCATACCTCAATAAAAYTATGTCCATAGGCACATCACACATCACAATTTACTGAGAACTGCATGAATCAAAAATACTGTTTCTCTATGCATATTCAAGCCAACACAGAGTTTTTTATTTCAGGTACAAGAAGAGATAGCACAGTGTGGGGAAGGGACAAGAATGTAGTATTTTCTCTAAGTGGTCAACATCTGACATTGTTAAGGAATGGATTCTGACCATGCATGACAGCCTGTGAAAACAAACTGCACCGTGCCTGACAGAATATAGTCTATTCTATTCAGTGCAAAACTGTGCAAAAAGTTCTACTTGTTTAATTGTGGAAGAAAACATTTCCTAGCAGTTCAAAGGTGTATTGAAAGAACAGACACATTGGACTTGAAAACAGTGTTTTAATTTTTTTAAAAGTGTACTTACATGATTTGCAATAATAAAACAGTAAAGTGCACTGGAAAAAAGCCATTTCTAGATGAAAAAAAAAAATCTTCCTTTTTACAAGAATAAAATTCATAATCAAATGAATGGCTATAGCCAAGCACTAGAAGAGATTATAATTACTTTCTCTCCCAGGCAATTTCAGGTCCACACCTCAGTAATGACAATTTGCTGATTAAAAATTGAAGGGAAAAAGGGTTGGATATTTCCCTGAGTTAGCTTCTAAGTTTACCTGCGTAATTATCAAAAATAATTATAGCTGGTTGCAATAATCTAGCTCTGTTAGTGAAAAAAATAATAAATTCAATTTTGATCTGAAATGCTTTACTCAAATAGCCAGAAAACAGTAAGCTACAGAAACTTGCGTGAAATAAAACTACAGAATACTGTATACCGTACCTCATCTGACTCAAAATCAACTCCTCTAGATGCCTGGCTTTGTGAACCTCTTTTACTAAGTGAAGATGTAGTTGTCGACCTTGAAACAGACGAGAAAAAAAATGAGGTCAGCATGTTCTCAGTTACCAGACATTCCAATAACTTCCCTTTTAACTTAGAGTTGGATCACTGATACACAGAGAAAAAAAAATAAATAGAAATAAGAGTAAGTACAACAACACCACAAATTCTTAAAACAACATATTAATACTAAAGTTCTGATCAAGTGTACCTCAATCAGTACTCTATTTTTCTTGTTATGGAAAGATAATCCACATTAACAAGAAAATATTGATATAAGTTCTCTCAGCAGTGTTATGACTTTCCTAAAAAYCTGGTAGTCAATCAAATCCTTGGACTCTGCTGATTGCCAGTCAGAAATAAGGCACTCATGGCTGCATTCACGAAGCAAACATACTGACCTTTGATTTGCTTTGGAAGAAGGAGGAACAAAAGAACTATCTTCTGGATCAGAATCAACATCTATAATATCCTGAAAAAAAAAGTATAAAGTTTTTCCACAGAATTTATTCTTACAGAGAGAGTGCRTAATGTTTCACTACTATAGCACAGAGCCTTTGGGGTTTTTTCCAACTATACACCTATTTAGAATAATATACACTTGAGAGGCCTCCAGACTGGAACTGTAMAAATATGCAAATACAGCCCAAGTTTATTTTTCACATC